CCAACTTTCCTATGTTTGTTTATGCTTCCTAATAACTTCCTCGCCTTAGTTTTGAACAGTCCCATCTGGTTTGTAGCATGATTTCTTTAGCATAACAAAATTAACAACCTGAAATGCCTTCCAAATATCTCCTTCTTGCTTCTCCCCCAGAGCTATTCTGTAATTTATCCTCATCTGAGATGCAATTGTGTAGAGGTGTACTTCCTAGGTGATTGATGGAGGTAGGTCATCTTGACGAAACCTAGGAGACTTCCACTGAATAATATGGTGTCACAAACCCTGTTATGTTTAGGGGTTCACAGTGTGTCCTAATTGTTTTCTTGCATTTTATTGTACTGATATGGCATGTGCAATGTTATTGGAAAGCCCATGCTGTGTATGGATTATGTTATGCTGGCTATTTATACCCTTATTTTTTTGGAAACAGTTTAGCTAGGGATCTCAGGAGTGGGTGGGACTGCCAGTTATCCCTTGCTTTTGTGTTCTAGGGCCAGGGCAATTGCTATTCACAGAAGGGGCCACTGGTGGGTGGACACTGTCCGCCTATGATGGGAATAATCAATTCTACAATAGCAAAGCATGTGGGAGTAGTGGCCCATCAAGCCAGTGGGACTCTAAGCACACCAGAACTATCTGAAGGATTCTGGTGATTCATGATCATTAAAATAATCTAATGGGAAGGCTATCTTGCAGGCTTTTTAGAGCCTTGGTAGGCTACAATATTTGTCACTGAATCTCCCCCTTGCCACCACGGGGTGGGAAGGCTCTGGTGGTTCACTGGCCCCATTTTCCAGAACTGGTAAAATCAGCAGGAAGGCTGATTTCTAGAAGTCTGGCAAGAATTCTCATGGGAGGATCAGGGAAGCCAGATGAGAGGGTAACAATCTGTACGTGTTCATTTTTTGTCTCCAAACCTATGATCTCATTTGTCTGCATAATTTTTTCATCCTATGTAATAAACCCTTTTGCTGTTTCTCTTCCTTACTGACTGCCAGAGGAGAGTTATTTCTGGGTGAGTGATGTTCCAGACTGACTCTCTCCATGGAACGTGCTCCTCCTCTCTGCTGGCTGCGTATCTGTTCTCCAGATGACCCACTGGACGTGAAGATCTCTACTTGCTGCCAGAAGTCACAAGCCTCC